CTCTCTCTCTCTCTCTCTCTCTCTCTCTCTCTCTCTCTCTCTCTCTCTAGTACGCCACACACCTTCGCTTTCCCACTTTAATTTGGACATAAATAGCCACACTTCCACCCACCTTATCACCATGGATCTCTTTCTTCCACCCACCTTATCACCATGGATCCCTTTCTTTATTTATTACGCAAACACACAAAAAACTTATTCATACATTTCTTATTTTCTTTTGTTTTGACACACAAACACAATCGCAAATACAAGTAATCTCATTTCCTGTTATTCAATTTGTTCTAAAAAAATGACAGGTATTGTGACCCGCTGAGATCATCTGTGATTCATCATTATTTGCAGGACAACAGTATGGACACAGAGGGGCCATGATTTTGTTGTTATTGTACTGCTCGACTAAAACACAAGCTTGTGTTTTTCCATCAAGTTTTTTCTCCAGCCACCACTAAATCTTCCTTCTCCCTTCTCTCTGTTTTAGGTTAGGTAAAAAAACCCCAAATTGGGTTCATCCAAAAACGCAAGGAGAAAACCCTAAATTGGTGGTGTTTAGTTTAACTTTAAGAGATGGAGGCATAAGCAGGATTCATGATGGTAATGATTGTTCATTATTGTGAACCACAGAAGGGTGTTTGAGAAGGGATTTGATCATTGGTGAGTGTGTGAGTTGTAAACGATAGTTGTTATAGGATTTAGGATTCAGTATAAGACACACCGCCCGTCGTCACGCCCTTTTGTCATCACCTTCAGCGTTGAACCAAACTCCCCACACCCCCTCCGCGTTCTCTTTCTTTTCCCTTTATTTCTATAGCGTAGTCTGGTAATGTAGGGTGGAGCCCTAGATCGAGTTTGGCCGGTGGGATGGTTAGGTTTTACCACCATTAACACATAGAATATAAAGAAATTAGGTATGATGTGACAATCGAGAGGATTCCGTCACTCATCATCGTTAGGAGAGAGTAGGAAAAATAGATGTAATCTCTTAATATTGTGATATTTGATTTTGAGATGATAAAAATCAAATGTATTGTTACATTTATTGTTAAGTCGACTATTAAGCTCAAAAATAAGCGTCCAAAAAGTTGTACTGTCTTTTTAGCTGGTTAACATATTTTGAAAGTACTCCTTAACGAGATCTCAAATATATAAGACTCGTAAAAATTTGACTCCAAAGGAAAGAGTTATGAATTTTATAAAAATAAAAATCAACCCCGTAATTAAAATTAAGATAAAAACTGACTCCAAAGGAAAGAGTTTTCACTAAATGTGCAAAAAAGAGATACATAGCACTTCTCAAGATAAAAACTTTAGGACAAAGAATGTCGAAAACGGGATACGTATTAGAAAGATATGATTATTGTAAAATCATTTATTTTTACTCTCGTTACGCACAAAAATGAAAGTCAAAACGACCTAAAGCAACCTAAAGGAGAGTTGTGTTGGGAATGCAACAAAACAAGTTAAGCACTTCCGAAAAATTGATATAACGATTTCGGCAAAACTCG